GGGGCTGTATGCCGTTGGAATAGCCGTCTGGCTACAGAAAGCCGTTCGAGTGTATATGCCATGGGTATTGGCAGTAAGAAACCAAGCTGAGTATAACCAACTGATGTCAGGGATGTGATAATTATATCAAGGACGATATCTGAGTTTTGGGAGTTATACAGGGGTAGTCGACTAGCCCAAGTCTCAGTAAGGTTTCATATAGCAAGATTTATAGAGATACTACCCCTTTGTCTTCGAAGTGACATGTACGTGAGCTACATGATAACATTCCCATCCATATGTTCCGGGAACTGTCCTGTGATCCTTTCACTTTAACCCCACACAATGTAGCCAAAGCCGTAGGATACTTTTATATAGGATTCAAGGATAGCTCCCAAGCAACTAGAAACTAGTCATGCAGTAAGTATGTGCATAAAGTAATATCATACAACACACTAACTGCCAATTTAATCTAGCCATGATATAGCAATGTGAATAGGATTCTAATGTCAACCCTCAAGCTCCCCACAACTTAACCAAGTAGTATAAGACCATGTCCTCTGTCTGCTTGTGTAGCGTCTTGTATAGACAGTCAATACATCAGATACAAACAGCCGTTTTCTACATGAATCAAGCTACAAATCTCACTATGACACTGAGCAAAGGCGAAAGTCGCCGTCACATTCCAATTACTATCGAATTATATCCGAGAAAACAAGTTACCTTAACCTAAACAGCTCCTCACCCCGCCTCAACACAAAACAGACTGAATCCATCCCATCTCCGCCACAACAAGACCGCCCTCTTATCAGAGAACTATATAATGTCCACGGGAGTGTTTTGCTCAAGCACGTTTCTTAATTTCCCATGACAACAGCATCTATGTATCTATCAGCACCTGCAATGACCCACAGTGCTTGGAGGATAGGGATAAAATAGGAGCTCTTACTATAGGCAAGATGACTAGAAGGAAAAATAAAACGAGTCCCACGCATATCCCCAGTAGCGTCTTGCAAACTACCTGGAGATATATAACCCATTTCTTATTTTTTGCCCAGGGAGGTCCAGGGCGACGCCTTGGATTGTTTTGGGCCTCCAGGTCGGCCGCTCCTTGAATTATTCTCGTTAGCCTCTGTTTTCTAGCCATGGGGAAGTTGTTGTCACTAACTAGTCACACTTTCCGGAGCCGGTCTGTTCTGCACTACCTGTGCATAGGAAGGTGGCCCTGATGCACGGCATCTATCAAGCTCGACGGCTTGGGTACAATCCTGTCCGCTGAGCCCAGGGTATCCAGGTTGTCGCCCGTCGGCCCACTGTACCTGCGTCATGGTGTTGAATCTAGAGAGTAATGGCACAGAGTAGATACGTGAATAGAATCAGAGAACGAATTTTATAGATGGGTTTTGACACTCGAAACTAGCTTAAAATCCTGACTGGCAAGGATAGGTGCTAGAGAGTGGATGGTGAGTAGAAACAGAGAGAGGCAAGATAAATACACTATATCAGACGACATCACAGTTCCGTATACATGAGGTCATTTTGGTTGCGCCTCTACGAAAAAGGCAAATTGCTGTTTTGCGGTCTGTGACTGACAAAACCTAAGAAGGTATATAGAAAGGATGTCGGCGGAGATTGTATGGGAGAACCGAGAAAAACAGCCAAAAGGATGATGAAATTATGATAGCACTGACGCTATGTAAAGTACAAATGATTGAACCTGAAGAGTCAAAATATGATTCTATGTGAGGAAAGAATGTAAGTTAGCTGATGTTGCCTTATTACATGCCTCATAACCCACCATCTTAATTGAGTGAACGTGAAGCTATTCAAAACTTAACATATGGAAAATATGACGAACCGGATGTTTAGACCCACTACCAGCAACTCACTGGCCCTCAAAAATACCTTAATGTCTGGATCTACTACTAGCAAGTCACCAGCCTGCGGGACACTGTAGCCATAGGACACTTGGGCCTGCCTTAGAGACTCCCTAGACAAAACTCTGGGTGTTAAGAACTACTACGACCAACTCGCATCTTGCAAGAGAAAACACTCCATGTTGGGACCTTGCAGGAAAAACTATATCTTCTTCACCGTGATGACTCTCCATCTTGGAGATGAAACTTCTTACAATTTGAGAGCAAAGATCCCTCTATCTAAGATTTAAATCACCCTCTATATAACTGATCTAGACATGGCAAGCGCATTTAAGCTGCTGGGAAAGACCCGGAGTTTAGAAAAGGCGAGATCTTGGTAGTCAGGATAGACATAGACATGAATATGTGAAAAGAGTTATCTTGGCAAGATAGTCAGGTAGGATGAGCGGAACTAGCTATAAAATCTATAGTTTAGGCAAAGAAATGAGAACCACAGTAGCCGTAGACTTCCGGGCCCATAACCTGTGGGAGGACCGACGAAAAACAGTCCAAAGAATCATAAATTCGATGATATCGAAGCTATAAAGGGTCACAAATAGTTGCAAGATTACCAAAACAACACTTTTATATGGGGAAACAACACAAGTCCGGTAATCTCACTTCATCCAACAAAGAATTGCTAAGTCGTTGATGATATCCTTTCGAAACAAACGATACACGAATAACGGGTATCAACTTGAAGGGGTGGCTCTTTCCTTGTTGGTTCTATCAAACCTTGAGGCGAGATTCCCAAACAGACGAAATGATTATCCCATCCTGACGCAACAAGCATCACCAAGGGTAAATTACCTTCTCCTTTCCACCATAATATTCGTATAGCGCATATTACTTCAAGTTATAGACTACTTAACCAACCCCACACTACGGTGCATAATACTCAAAGTATACCTACAATTGAACCCTCTCGAGAGCGACCCAGCGAACAAAATCAGACACAAATGGACACTGATTCTTCAAACCACGACTTAGAAAAAGGTCCATCCGAAAATTTTAGACGGAGACGCGTCTCCCACCACGGCAAGTACTTCTCTTCGTCTATTGTGCAAATTCAATAGTAGGTTAACAGTTTGTTCAAGAGTGTCGCCCGTCATTGCCAGCGTCTTGTATCGAAGCTCAGAGAGACGAGAAAACTCCCCGGTCCGATGAACTCCTCTTAATTACTTTTCTGGTAGTGGTCTCATTGTTTGGGATATGCGTTGTGATTTGCGCTGTGGTGTACAATCAGGGAAGGGCTTTAAGGGTCAAGGAGATGCAAGATCATATTGATACGCATTTTAATAAGCACAAGGGCTCTTTCTCTAGCGTCCGATCTCGTTTTTGGACTGGACGCTGATTAAAAGGGTTAGCGATGGCGGGTTATCCTGCTGTTTCTGCTGTGGCTGTGTGAAGCTTATGTGTTCGTGGACTGGTATACTGGGAAGCATGATGGTTGAAGGACGTCATAACTAGATGTTGAACTCAATAAGGGTAACAGAGTGTGTTGCTAGAAGATTTAAATTTCGGTTTACTACCTATAGAATAAACAACAGTTACGACTAGTCTTATTGGATATTTATAATTACATTGGCGCAAAAACCCCCACGTCCGGCTACATCATAGTCTGCTAGTAAGGGAAACAACAGACGCGTTTACTAGCCAGTCAATCATTCGTTCCATTCTCGCGTCTTTCGAGAGTTGGAGCTGGCAACTAAACACAAAGCAAACCAAAACTGCAACAGCAACGAGGTACGCAAAAGTGACTGTCGAGATTAGGAGTATTTCGGTGGAGAGGAAGGGTCTGGATCCCTCTCTTCCAGACTGGGCAATCGCACATGTATCTTTGTAGTACATTATGGAGGAGATGTCTGATTGCCAATAACGTTTGATGGATTTATTTGATAGTAATATTCGATCGTGCTGAATTATACTGGCGTGAGATGTGGAAGGTGATACTAGGATATCATTTTTAAAACGGTTTGACTTGAGGTTTGAGAGAACTCACAAGGATAATAAATCTTCCACATGTCTATGCTGTTATTTATGTACTATTCCTTCCGAAGGACGTTATCAGAGGGAAAGGACCCATGAAAACAGTCCCAAGGACAATGATATAGATGACTATTGTAGCCACTGCATCAAAAAGCCGAACGGTAGTCTGGGAGGACTTGATATGGCTGATATCCCAAACAAACTATGAAGGACTGCGAATACTTGCAAGATGTTAAAAAAAACCATGTAGAGTAAAAACAATGTGTGGGAGTAAACAACACAGAACAGCTGTTATTGCCTGATTATAAGTTTCAAGTCTCGATAAATACTGCATTAGCAATTTTCGCTGGACCAAGTGAAGATTGCGTAGTATACAAGGCTGTCTATATACTTCAGACAATCACTGGACTGGCAGTGATGAAATCAACGAGAGATGTAGTATAGCGAGCAGTGTAACCAAACTAGACAATGTATGACTATGTGAAACAGACTGGCTAACAGAATTTTGGAATTTGCAGATTGCAAGAGGGAACATAGCTTCATATAACGACATAGGAGCCACGGCGTGCTATTGCCATATGGAATACAAGCCGTGATCGCTCACAAAGGGCCTCTCAAAAGTACTCGTGTGAGACCCCTCAAAGCACCCATGTAAGGTCATTAAAAGAAGCCGCAGGGAACCCTTTCAAATACCCCAGTATAGCCCTCCTAAAAGTAGCCATATAGAGTCCCTGCAAACACCCGCATAGAGGTTGCAAAAGCACCTGTGAACGACCTCTGAAGGCAGCCGCAGGAAATCCCTAAAAGCACCAATGTAGAAACCTCAAAAGCACTACAAAGCACCGATGCAGGGCGCCCGAAAATAACTTTAGTTGGTACTCGAGGTTGGAGTGCCCAAATACGAAGAAGTGTATGAAAAGCTGTGGATTGCACCCTTGTTCTCTTATGCTATTAAAGATAAAGATCACACGTCAAATTAACATCCATTTCCAACGCCAGAGCCCATCCTAATTAAATTCCTAGAACTCCATGCCAAATCAAAGCTCCCTATGACAATGACCTTTTGAACAGGACCGAAAAAGCAGAGGCGGCGGTTCAGGGGGTATTCGTTATCCATCCGTACAAAAGAGCAAAATGCGCCAAACACTGCAAACGGGAAGGTCATGAAGATCGAAAGGGGAAAAGAAAACCAAAACAGATGAACAACCAGATGTACACAAATTAGCTCTGGAAACTGTACATGCGCACTTCGCAGTCCTCGCTGCCAGTGGCGAAGCGGCTGTCACCCAGGCCAATACATGTGACTGGGCCGGAGTGACCGGTAAACGTGCGTTCGCATTTGCCTGTTCTCGGATCCCAGATCTTGACCATGCGGTCTTCGGCACCGGTCACGATTCGAAGGGTATCGGCAGCGAGGGCCCAGACGCCTTCCAGATGCCCGAAGAATGTCCGCAGGCACCGACCAGTGGTGGTTTCCCAGAGCCGAATAGTCGAATCCAATGCACTCGTGACCATATAACGGGGTGGTGTCGGGCGGCCGTTGTCGAAGGTGGGACCAAAGACTGATGGCTGAGAAAGGGAGTTTGACTCTAAGCCCAAAGCAGCTTGGAGCGAGGCCGGCTCGGTATCACCAGATGCGGTGCTGAGGTTGTCGTTCTCGCATTCGGCATCGTGCTCTTCAAATTCAAATTCCCGCGGCAGTGGTACAACCTGTTGGACCTGTCCAACGTGGCCATGGAAAGTTCTAATGCAAGTCTTGGTGTCCAGGTCCCACAGGCGTACCGTGCAGTCATCCGAGGCAGAGAATACCGTGCGAGAAACGGTGTCCACTCTGACAGCATTGACCCAGTCCGTATGCCCGCGCAACAAACAGGTCGACTTGTCCTCAAAATTCCAGATTTTGATAGTCTTATCAACCGAAGCAGAAGCGAGAATGGACGCGTCGAAATGCAGCCCAATGACACCACCACGGTGACCAGTGTATGTGGAGATGCATTCGCCCGTTCGCCAGTTCCAAACCTTGAGGCTGCGATCCATGCTGCCGCTGATCAACTTCGTATCATCAAACTGCAGACAACGGATCCCCGATTCGTGCCCACGGAGTGTACGCAACTCTTCCCCTGTTTCTGTATCCCAGATCTTGATGGTCGCATCGTAGGACCCGGTCGCCAGGATGTTGTCCTCAAATTGCAGACACATGACACCGTTGGTGTGACCTTTGAAAGTCTTGATCGAGCACCGCCCGTACTTCCAGTTGGTTCCCACCTTGAAACGGTCCTTGTAAACCTCCTTCCAAGGTCGAAATCGGGGTTTGAAAAAATCGGCATCCACTCCTGGACGAGGACTCAAGGACGAACAATGCCGTTTTACCATTGCCGTTTCCTCGTCATCACTCGCCCCAGATTTTCTCTTGATAGGACCGGAACTCTCAACCACGGGTCCAGCCTCCATACTCTGTTCGCGACCGGGCGTGGGGTTCGAGGATGCAATGTTGACGTTCCATGTTGTTGCCCGCAATTCGATCTCCCGCTTCGACTCACGCAGCCGTTTACGGTCCAGAAGTGGGAGCCCCCAACCGCATTTCTTGCATTTGCGGTGAATATGTTGTTCGCACATCCGATGCCAAACCACGTCGTCATCCGCCAGGGCTCTCCAGCTTCTCGATACCTGAGACGCCTTGCAGAGGGATGTCGTGTCGAGGTAACAAAGGATTTTGAACGAGATCTCCGGGGGAAGGGCGGTGAGGAAATCGATCCTAATAAGTTCGCGCACCGTTGCTGACACGAACGACAGCTGGGGAAAACAGCACTGGGCCATGATTCCTTGCAGGATAAGTTTTCGATGTTTTGCGGGGGCGGCCGAGAAGAGCGACCAAACATGGGCAATGCCCTGCTGGTCACTCTGAGGGAGAGTCTCCAGATCCTGCGAAAATCTTATTAGCCCAAGTTCTCGCATACGACTGATATGGGGGAACATTCGGGAGAAGAAAAAAGGTGGAATGAACATACCCGTTGTAATTTATCCATGGATGGCTCGTCCGCTTGACGACGGCATTTAAGTTCTGGTCGATGGCGATAACAGTACTTCGAATTTGGACCGCTGATGTCTGCGGCTTCTGTCTCGATGGTTCGCGATCCTAGAGGGGCGTATTGCTTGGGGATGTGTTTCGCGAGGAACGGCGCAACACTTTCGTCGGCTAGTTTTGCGGATGTTGCTGTTACGTTGCGGAAAGTGTGGGGCGCGTGCTGATGACCATCGGGTTCCCCATCAGTAGTATCCTCGGGGACCTCACATGGGCCAAAGATGGACTTGAGGGAGCTTTGCGAAAGATTCTGGTTTTCGCTGGAGGGCGCATTTTCTTCCACCGGAGATTGAAGGATGTTTTCTGACTGTGATAACAATTCGCCGGGGTTCATGTTGCGCAACACCCTCAGTGGCAATCACCCTTACGACCACTCGGAAACCTTGCAATGAGAAGATGATCCTCAGTCTTGACAATATAAGAGCTTGCAAGAGTCTATCGCCAGCGTCAGGGTGTCTAAATTGAACAACGACGTTGTCGAGGGCAGGGGTGGCGACACGATACGGCACGATGGTTCGATAAGGGTCTGGCTCGTGAAGGCGGTCGGCGAAGAAAAGCGGATAGGGAGGGGCGTATGGACCACTGTACTCAGTACCGAAATGGAGAATTAGTCCAGCCAGAGATCGAGTGAGAATATGGCTGCATATGTAGGTAGACCAGCTCCGTTGTGTGACTCTTGCAGATCAATTAATGTTCCAAGAAGAAGAACGAACACCCCAAGGACTCTTGTTGGTCGTGAATCACGCAAAGCCCGGGGATCGTCTCGTGATCACGCTAGTGGCTTCGGGGATCGCTGCACGTGACCCGCGATGGCGCCATCGCCGCCCTTCGTCGCATCACCATCGACCGGGGTGGCATAATTCGACGCGACTATTTGGATTCAGGGCGGATTCCCCCAGTCTTTCTGGGAACGGCTAATCAGTTAGTGCGCTGGGGATCCCTTACCGCAGTGCCCACTTAGTTTGATGATTCCCATACTAATTCTCCCAAGGTTCTGAACGGCGAGCTCTTGTTTATCATCACATCATCTCCACACCCTCCACAGCGTCTGAGACCCCGACATTGGTGATCTCCTGTCGTGGGATTTCTCTTGGTCTGACACTCTGCAACGCGGGTTAAAGCTCCGGAGCTCGACATTCCCAATATCACGTCATTTTCGACGCCTAGCTTTCTAATTCGACGCTTATAGTTTCGCTTCTAAGGAGCAGTGACTTCCAGAAGGTACGCAACGTTGATCTCCAATCGGCGACTTCCACTCCCACTCTTTCCTCGTTCCATCATCAGGTCAATCCTTGCCTATAAAACGAATCCTCGCCCAATCCACAATGATGCCACCATCGGGCGGAGGAAATCAAGGACCGAATCGGGATTAGCCTGTGTTTCTACTTCAAGTCTCACCGCCAGATTCATGTCTAGTCCAATTATGCCGATCGCAGCGTTGGCTGAGCTCCAGAGTTAACCATTAACACAGAATAACTGGACGGTGTCAACTCCCGATCCAGTGATTATGATTTAGATTCACGTTATCATTTACAACAGAACGATATCACGGCCCATTGCATGGGACACTACACTAGGGAAGGACATCTCCGGGCCCAGACTGGGACGGGGAAAAGCGGAGATTTTGGGGGAGCCCCTGGTTCTGAAGACAACTACCCTCATTGGACACATATTCGCGCATAGTCGGATTTGGCTGTGAATGCCTGGCTAGACTGGCTCCTGTGGGAATATCTAGTTAGAGCTTGTCGCCATCATGTCGGCATCCGGGTCCTCGTTGATGTCCGGCGACGCATCGCGTGCGCCCGAGCAAACTCATGACCAAGAAAATTCCATGCCTCAGCTGGAGACCCTCATCTCACATCTAGTCGCAGCTAAGCGGTCTTTGTCATCCATCAGCCATGTGTGGCGTGCTAATGAAATTGTCACGGCCGCCCGCTCTGCATTGGAAGAAAGTGTTGTAGTTTCGGCGCGGACCGGCTTCCTTCGCCGTGGTCTCAACAACCAACTACGGCTACTCTATAATGTCCGGACGGAGGTGGGAGAGGTGTCCCTGCGCGGTAGATCGGAGTTTGCAAGCATTTTGAAAAACCTAGATTCAGCTGACGCACAATTGCGGCAGACGCTGAGTGCTCTCAGAGAAACAGTGGTTCATGCATCCTTTCGCCCGCAGGGTGAAGAGCCAAGGAGCCTACATGATTTTTTGGATGAACGTGGCGTTGAAGAACTCCATTCATCGCTCAAGGATTCCATTGACCGGACCAATGCAGCCCAGGCTGACCTGGAATCCTCAAATTACGCCTTCGATGACGAGCTCAAAGCGATCAAGGATGCGTTGGGTAACTACCGAAATGCCACAAAGCTGGCGTCATCACGGCCGTCGACGTCGTCATCCTCATCCTCTGCGTCGAGCTCCAGTTTGCCTTCCCTGTCATCGATGCCAGGATTGCTGCATTCTCTGGAGATGCACGCCCGGGAAATGGCCGATCTTCTGGAGTCTCTGGTCCAACACTTCGACATATGCGTGACAGCTGTCAAACATACCGAAGGTGGGGGAGCCGCAGCCCAGTCTATCACAGGCGATATGCCTGCTGGTATGAATGTCAGCGGCCGTGGTGCTCCGAATATCGAAGAAGGCATCAACGCTAATTTGAACGCTCCACTCGATCCGCTTAGTGATTCGGAGTACCAAGAGATGGTGAACGTACTAATCAAGGATGCGGCTGAGGCAGAGGATGTCGTGATGGAAATTCAAGACCGTATTGGAGAGATGGAGTCTGTCCTGGAAAATGTCGTGGCGCAAAGGGATTCTTTACTTTCCGTGTATGGTGCGACCACAAATGTTTTCGACCATCTGTCGTCCCTCGCATCCAACCGTCTCCCAAACTACATCTCCCAGGCGCACAATTTCACACAGGTGTGGAATGACGAACAAGAGCGAATCAAAGGCGGACTGGCAGATCTCTCCGACCTGAATACGCTGTACGATGGCTTCCTGGATGCATACGATGGCCTGATCCTGGAGGTAGCACGGCGAAGGCACGTACGACACCGCGTGGAAAAGGTTCTACGCGATACTAGACACAAGCTGGATCAACTCTACGAAGAAGATGTCAATGCGCGCGAGACATTCCGTGTCGAGCAAGGGGACTATCTGCCGTCTGACATCTGGCCCGGAATTGGCCGGGAGCCAATGCGAATCGAATTTCGCCGGATATTGGGCGGCAATCTCAAGGATGCCGTGCCCGACAATCCGGAGGATGCCCAACAAACCCCTGTTCCAGAGCCCAACGGGGCGCCCGCCGCATCGATCGGGGAGACCACCGACGATGGCGAGGTTATTCCTGAACTCCCCAAAGCTGTTGTGGAGCAGGCTCTCTCCCGAGTTAAAGCCAAAAGTCGTCGCAACACGTGATCTAGACTAGGCGTGAGACGAGCCCCCTCTCTAGACGATGACCCCTGCGAGGCCTCAGGCGCAGGGTAGGGAGAAGGAGACGGGATCCTCGAAGCAGGAAGAGGCAAACTTAGGAGCCTGAGCGAAGATCTCCTGGAAGAGGGCCGGGAGGAAGCGCTCGAGGCTGCGGTGCCATTTCAATGTGTATTGGCATCGTCCGAGAATCACTCCATGTGGACAAAATGACTAGGCAACCATATGCTAGACCTAGGTGATGAACTCGAAGCTAGGCTTAGCCTTACATTGAAGAAAAGCTTGCCACCATACCAAAAACCATATGCGTGGCTGATTCTGGTGAGACACATACTCCGAAAAACGAAGTCTTCGTTGTAGGATGTAAGTGCTATCGAAGAAGCCAGTATATGCCTAAGTTATTGGTGACAGACTCGATGAAAATCAAAGAGAGCTCTGATAGGTCGTTAAGCCATGGTTTTGCGATTTGCAAGCAAAAGCAAAAATGCTATCTACCTGTATATAGAAACAACGAATACGAAGCAATTAAGGAAATTCCATTGTTTTTGTGTCCCTGCCCGTACATGCATGCCGCTCTATATGCTCAGAACCAAAAGTATATATATCCAATCCATCCCACATTGACCCATCCATCCCGACCAGCCAACACTCATCGTCGTGAAGTTCATCAAATCGTTCAAAGAGAAATAAACAACTTTTTTTCGCTCCGTTCCATGAGACGTGATTATTTCGACAGTAGCCGTCACCACTATTTCTTCTTGCGCGACGAGGAAGAAACAAGGCGTTTCTTGAGATGCTTGGGCATCTTCTGCGTGCGTTTGTCGCGCTTTTCTTCCTTGACTTTCTGCTTGTGGTCACGCTTGCTGTCTTTGTCCTCGAAGCGTTTCCCGCGCGGGGCTTTCTTCTCGAAGGGGTCTTTGCTGTCGTCGTCTGAGTCTGAGTCGGAGCCTTCCACTGACATGCCGCCGCTCGCTTCGGACTCGTCGTCGCTCTCGGCGTCGCCTGAGGCAGCGGTGGGCTTTTCGCTGGCCAGAAGGTTTCGGTATACGAGGTCTGCACTGCCGCCTGCTTGGACTTGTTCGGCGTCGCGTTCGATGTCGTACACTTGTTCCAGGGTCTGCGGGATGTACTGCTGGCGGAAGACGGCGGTGTCGACTTCGTCGGCTGCTCGTTCATCGAGTGTCATCTCGTCTCTAGTGGCGAGAAGGTTTTCGATGGCGTCTTGCATTGGCTCCACTGGCGTCACTGTAGTCGGACCGTTGTGGGAAACAATGAACTCGAAGAGGGTCTTTTCGGGCAGGATGTCTACGCCCTTGCGACGGAAGAAATCGCTGACGTTCTTGATGTCCATACGCAGAAATTCGAGACTGCGGGGGTGATCGTGTTCCACACTTTGACTGACATCGATTATGTACAGCTTGCCCTTGTGGTAGAGCATGTTGTACTCGCTCAGATCCGCGTGGACCAGGCGGCACGTCTGGTAGAGCACGCGCATGTAGCCGAGCAACTCGACGTACACTTCGCGCCATTTGGCAGCAGGTTCGGGCACGTCGAACTCGACGTCTTTCAGTCGAGGAGCCGCCACACCCTTGGAGTTACCGACGAAGCCCATGACGAGGACGTGCAGACGAAGGTGAACGGGCTCCGGGCAAGGAATGCCGGCAGAGTAGATCCTCCGCAGGTTGCGCATTTCCTTCTCAGCCCACAGTTTCACCATCGCGCGGTTGTTGCTCTTGCTGTATCCTTGTCTGAACCGGAACTCACCAGTCACGTACTTATCTCGGTCCTTGAACACCAAAATGCTCGTCTTGTAGACTTTGATAGCACGGTGAAGAGGCGGAGCGTCTTCCTCATCGGGGATCGACAGAGAGTAGTAGACGTTGGCCTCTTTTCCTGTAGACAGACATCCGTGAATCTCAGACACAATGTCTCGGTTGATCATCTGCAACAGAAGCATTCGTGTGCGGGGATCCAGCACCTGTTCCGATGTTGCCCTGTCGGCCCTATCGTTGCCGGCGCCGCTCTTGGTGGACAGACCAGACTGCACATCGTCCAGCTTGATCTTCCCCGCATGGCGCGTTAAGGATT